ATTGCTGTCGGCATCGTTGCCGCAGCTCTCCCTTCCACCGTTCGAGGTTTCACACTCAAGTGAGTGGAGCGTGAGGGGGGCAAGTGTCTAGCAGAGATACCGTTCCTGACAGATCTGTGCCCACCTATCCCAGCTTTCACAACAACTGTCCCTACGACGTTTGGCCCGCAGGCGGCAGAGCTCCATACGGTCAGCCAGACAACAGTGTTCGGTGCGTAGCTCTAAAACCTTTCGCGCTACTGCAACGCTTCTGCTGACATCAATGAGCAGCTACGGGTACCACCTGACTCCCGGAACGTCAAACTCTTGGAACATCGATGATCACCAAACCGGGATTCGAGCGTGGGGACGCACTGGCTGCGACGCCAACGGTGCCAACTGCCAAACCGGCGCTTGCAACGGGGACACGCTCTGCAACGATGCCGGTATCACCTCTGGCGTCATCCTCTCCGAGTACGGATACGGCAGCGGCGATCTAAGTGAGCCTTGTCGAGCAGCCTTCGGACATCGTCTTGCATGCTGATCCACATTCCGTTCTTGCAGTCTACTGGAACCTGTCACGCGCGGGCGAGACGGACGCCGACCCGCCGCTCAATGTCAACATTCCTCTGCGAGTCTCTGGTGGAGGCACGACGCTGGACTGCAACAGCAACAGCGACTGCGCTGCCGCTTTCCAGAACCCAGATGACAACCAGGGCAAGATTCACACCGCTCCTCTCGGCACCACCTACGACGTCACTTTCTGCCCCTAGAAACCGCGTGTGCGCGCCTCGCGTCGCTTCCAAGCGGGGGAGAACATGCATGCGCGAAGTCAACGCTTCATTCTTGCTACACCCTGTGCTTTGAGTCGCAACCAAATTTTGTAATAAAGAATGAAGTCGTCCTGTTGTGTGTTCTATGGGTCAATCACTGAGTGCATCATAATGGCTGCCCAAGGGCGCTTTGAAAGCTCGAGCCAACGCACACAATCTCAGTGAAAGATGTCATTCGTGATGGTCGTTCGCATGTAGTCTACAGCCAAGTACATCTGCGATGATGTCATGCGCATCGGGCGCGCGGCACGCGCCACACGTGATGTCCAACAACCAAGATCTCGCACACCAATTCTGTCTTCGAGAAAGTCCTGAAGCTTGAAGATGTTCCATCGTCGGCCGCCTGGGCGCCTACACCGCATCATCATGCGTGACTGTCCCCTCGGCGTGACCGAGGGTCTTTACTCTGAGCCGCGAGCTGACGACGGACGACCAGCTGTCCCTTTTCATGCGTCTCGCTGCCTGGCTCCACACTCTTCTATTCATTCGTAAGCTCTTGCTTGTATCGACCGCCGAGATGAAACGCCAGCCAACGGTCTTATGAGCGGGCCTGTGTCTCGCCGCAGACAAAAGTGACGGCATCAGGACGAAGCGGTCGTCACGTGTGAACACCGTCATGTACATTCGAAAGTGCTTGGTACAAGCAGCACATATAACACAATCACGAGACAAGGCATTGAGCGAGCTGATCTACCCAGGCTAAACAACGCCTCGAGGAGCGTTTGCAATGATGCCGTAAAGACAGCCAGAGATGAGGGCGGCAAAGGGCAGGGTCAAAACCCAGGAGAAAAAGATCCACGCAAACACCTTCCAGTTGGTGCCTCTCCAGTCGCCGTTGCACAGACTGACACCAAGCGTGGCACCAGTGATGGACTGCGTCGTGGAGACGGGAATACCGAGATAAGATGCCAGCACGACGGTGATAGAGGCGCCAAACTCCATCGAGAATCCGCGCGAAGGGGAGTGGAGGGTGAGACGATTTCCGAGCACAGCCATCAGCCTCCATCCCCAGAGTGCCAGACCGATAGAGATGGCGGCACCTCCGTAGACAAGGATCCACACGGGCACGACAGAGTTACGTCCCGGCATCTCCATCGTCGACCAGACTTGATACACTACGGAGAGAGGTCCAATGGCGTTGGCTACGTCGTTGGCGCCGTGTGCGAAGGAGGCCGTGCAAGCAGTGAGCACCTGCAGGAAGGAGTATAGATGCTCGACTTCGTTGGGATACTCGGTGGCGATGGCGTGCATTCTAGCGACGCGCTTTTTGTCCTCTGCTGAACCCATGTTGTCTTGCATCTTGTGAATGTCGGTGCGCAGACCTGCAGTGAAAAAGTAGACGACCCACGGCACGGCATTGTACCGCAAAATGGTGTACATGTTCCATGGCTCGAGGAAAGATCCGTGGTAGGTGCGGTACGGCGGAGGGTACGGAATGCCGTTTTCATCCGTGGTCAGGTGCGCCTCGCGACCAGAAATTTTCGCTTCGAGCAGAGCCAGCTTGGAATGCTTCTGTGTGGGTGGCTCTGAAGATTGAGGCACCTGCTGCGCTGTCTCATCCTCGGGTGCCAGCGCAATCTTTTCATCTCGCGAAGATCTGTCTCCGGAGGAATCGGCGCTGCCGTTGACCAGTGGAGCTACGTGGTCTGGTGATGCGTTGTGGATGCCAGTTGTGCCAGCAACGACTGGCGTCTCGACATCGTCGTGAAAGTGATGGGCATGATCTTCAGCGCGATGTCCCGCGTAGTAGTCGACGATGTTGAGCTTCTCGTTGCTCGCATCGGCAGGAGCTGGCCTGTTCCAGAGCAGAGGCCCGTAGAAGAAGTGATACCATCGGAGGGTGTAATCCTTTTTCAGAACCTTGCCGCGGACAAAAGGAAGCCAAAAGATGACGGATAGGAGCGATACGACTGCTGCTGTGCCGAGGATGGCAGCGGCTGTGGCGCCAGGGGACATCTCATCGAGATTCAGCGAAGGCGCACCTTTGGCGATGATGACAGTGGTGAGGATGGCGGCGACGATGAAAAAGTAAACGGGGCCAAGGTACAGACCGATGACCACTGCATTTTTGCGCTTAAGCACGGCGTACTTGGTAAATGTAAAGATGATGGCTGCAAGCGCTCCAGAGATGGCGGGAGCGATGCCCCACGAAGCAAAGATCTGGCCCACGCCGCTCCAGCCCCATCGCACGCCATCCGACGCGCCGCCAGCAGCAACTCCCACGCCGATCAGCGCTCCGATGACGGTGTGCGTCGTCGATACTGGCATCTGATGCTGCGTAGCAAAGGTGAGCCACGTAGCCGACCCTATGCAGACGCACGTGAAAGCGAGGAGCACGGTGTCGGCTTGATTCTGAAACAAGGAAATGTTGATGATGCCAGATCGAACGGTGGCAGTGACGCGCGCTCCGACGAGCACCGCGCCCAGGAATTCGCAGATGGCCGCAGCAATCATGGCCTGACGAAAGGTGAGGGAGCGGGAAGAGACGGATGTGGCGAAGGAATTGGCGACGTCGTTTGCACCGATGCCGAAAGCATCGATGAACGCCGCGATCATCGCAAAAGCGAACAGGTAGTCATACTCTGCCCACATGATGGAGGTGGATGTGAGGGGCCAAGAGGAATGAGTGGTGAGGGAGGGGCAAGGAAGGAA